CCCCCTGTGGGGCTGTGGGATCCCCCCAGTGGGGCTGTGGGATCCCCCCTGTGGGCTGTGGGATCCCCCCATGGGGCTGTGGGATCCCCCATGGGCTGTGGGATCCCCGGGCCGTACCATGATGAGGCGCTGGGCCAGGCGGGTGCGGGCGAAGAAGTAGATGACGCGGAGGCGCTTGGGCAGGCGCAGGTTGCGCAGGGACGAGGGCTGCAGGGTGATGGTGTGCGGGCTGGCCGCGCTCGCCCGCGCGGGGGGGGCCCGCGGGCGGCACGGCGGCTTCCCCGGGGGCAGGATGGACTCCGGGGGCACCCGCCGGTTCAGGTCGGCCAGCTGGGGAGAGAGGGAGGGAACGGTGAGGGGAGGGAACCCCGGGGAGGGGCAGGGAACCTCCGGAGAGGTCCCGCAGGGAAATGTCCCGGCACAGATTCTCCCCCAGCCCATTCGCCCCAGACCAGCACACCTACTGAGAATCATGGAATCATGGAATGGTTGGGTTGGAAGGGACCTCAAAGCCCATCCAGTGCCACCCCTGCCATGGGCAGGGACACCTCCCACTAGCCCAGGTTGCTCCAACCTGGCCTTGGACACTTCCAGGGATCCAGGGGCAGCCACAGCTTCTCTGGGCAACCTGGGCCAGGGCCTCCCCACCCTCCCAGGGAAGAATTCCTTCTCAGTATCCCATCTAACCCTTTTCTCTGTCAGTTTGAAGCCATTCCCCCTCGTCCTGTCCCTCCATCCCTTGATAATAGTCTCTCTCCATCTTTCCTGTCGGTTCCTCCATGTCCTGGAAGGCCACAATTAGGTCACCCCAAAGCTTCTCTCCAGGCTGAACAATCCCAATTCTCAGCCTTTGCTCCCAGCAGAGCTGCTCCTTCCCTCTGATCACCTTGGTGCCTCCTCTGGACTCACTCCAACAGCTCCATGTCCTTCCTGAGGGTGTCTCATTCCCTCAGGTGTCCTGTCCCCATCCCTGGGAGTGTAACTGGGCAAGCACAGGAACTTTAACAGCTCAGGCCCTCAGGACCAGAGGACACGGCCTCAAGTTGTGCCAGGGGAGGTTTAGATGAGCTATTGGGAAAATTTCTTCCTGGAAAGGGCTGTCCAGCCCTGGCACAGGCTGGAGGCCCCATCCCTGGGGGGATTTACAAGCCACCTGGATGTGGCACCTGGGGACACGGTGGTGACCATGCTGGTGCTGTTTGATGGTTTGACTTGACAATCTTAAAGGTCTTTTCCAACCTTAATGATTCCATGATCCTCTGATTCTATGGTTTTTTTCTATTTGAAGGGTGAAAGTCCCCCAGCACAGCAGGGAAGGAAGCCCAGGCTGGCCCCGTGTCCCTTCCCCACCTCCATCCGTCGGATGTCGATGGACAGCACGGTGGTGAAGAAGAACATCTGCAGGAAGAAGTCGGACACCAGGCCAACCACGGCAAAGAGGCAGAACTCCTGTGGGTGGGAGACAGGGATCAGCTCTGATTTCAACCCCAGAACAAGGGAACTCAGCAAAGCCTTGCCCAGAGCCCAGGGCTGGGTGTTCTACTGACAAAGCCCAGAGTGACTGAGGGTTTATAGCTGGGAAATTTCATTTTATTCAGATTCTCATTCTTTGCTCTTTTTAGCCACAAACCGTGTGCCTCAAGAGCACCCACGGTGACACTGGGACAGGGAACAGGGCACTGGGACAGGGAACAGGGCACTGGGACAGGGAACAGGGCACTGGGACAGGGAACAGGACACTGGGACAGGGAACAGGACACTGCCAGCAGAACAGGGCAGGGGGGCAGGAGAACAGGAAACTGGGACAGGATGTGGCACTTGGGGACGAGGTCAGTAGTGGCCTCGGCATTGCCAGGGATTGGTTGGACTCTGGTCTCCAAGGCTTTTCCAAGCCAAGCAGTTCCATGGCTCTGTGCCTCGAGCCTCTGTCCCACTCCCCACACTCACCTGGATGGCCGGGACCAGGGTGAAGTACCCGATGAGGATGATCCCCAGCTCCGTTGCCATGTTCTTCATGATGGACCAGCTCTCATTGCTCAGCCCTGGAGAAAGGCAGGGACAGGTCAAAGGAGCCTCTTCCCTGGTGCCAGACACGAGCCCGGCAAAGGGAACTGCATTTCCCTTCTTCAGAACCACAGGCAACAGGCAAAAAGGGCCTTTCAGGCTAAAATTCCAGAGTGCAAAGCCCCACTGAGGTCTTGGGGCTTGCTTTCCATCTGGGATGCAAAACACCTTTGTGTTTTGTTATTGTTAAAACTAGATAGATTTTTCTGGGCATCACTCTGGGCTCTCTCCTCCCTGATGGTTAGAAACAGCTTTGAAGTTTGCAAGTTCCATTTATCCGTGGTTTGGGCACACTCAAATCCTCACTCAGGCACAGAGTGTTTAGAGAATGGAAAAGATAATTTTGTCACAATTCAGGAGAATTTGGTACCACCTGTGGACTGCACTCAGGATATCCCTGACACGAGGACAAGGTGCTCAGTATTACACCAGCAGATCCAGCTCTCCCTTACTAATCTGTTTTTAAACTTATTTAGCCATGTCTCAGTCCACAACCCCAAAAAGCAGTGCCCACAACGACAGGGTTATGTTATTTCTCGGGATTAAAAACGGGACAAAAAGATGAACCATTCACATTGTTTTCCTCCATGGAGCAGAATCAGACCTTTCCCTCTCTCCCAGTCCTTGGGATTCCCCGGGTTTCCCTCCCTGGAGCCTCCCAGAGCAGAGCCCCCACCTTGGGCGATGCGCAGCTTCACTTCCAGGTCCACGGGCGTGGAGACGACGGACTTGGTGAGGACCAGCACGTTCTCCAGGCCAATCACCACCACCAGGTACGGGAAGATCTCCCTGGAGGGCACAGAAGTGGAGCTGAGGGGGAGATCCATGGTGGAAAGGAGGAAAGGGGCAGCTGAAGCAGCAAACACAGCCCGGAGTCGAGGTGAGGAGACACCCCCCAGAGCCCAGTCCCTTCTCCCAGGGTCGCGCTGGGACGGGGAAAAAGGTTTGTGTTTAATCCCCACTTTTGCAAAGCTGCAGGAATTTCTGGAAAGTGGCCCTTGTGGAGCACCACTGCTTTAGTGTTGGTGCTTCCCAGGGTGGGGACAGACCCCTCACTCTCCAGCACCTGGTACAAGGAGGGGTAAGGAGAGGGGTGGACCTGGAACACTGCAGTGGACTTGGGGGTAATTAGTCATCAGGGAGGGGGTTTGGGAGTGTGTCCCACCTCCACAGGGACCATCTGATAAACCCCAGCTCAGCACCACAGCAAACACAGCTTTCCAACTGGAATTCCCAGGTGAGGAGCAGGGGCAGGGCCTGGCTTGGACACCCTGTGGGCCAAAGTTCCAGCCTGGGGGGCTCTGAGTGATCCCACCCTGGGCAGTGAAGAGACACATGAAGGGACTTCTCAGCTGGGAGGTGGTGGAGCTCTGATCTCCAGCCACAGCACGGGGAACAACCCCAGCTGTGCACGTGCTTTGTGCATAAATAACCTAAACCCTACCAGGGAGAGCCAGGAGAACACCCTGCAGGCAGCACAATAACCTAAACCCTGCCAGGGAGAGCCAGGAGAACACCCTGCAGGCAGCACAATAACCTAAACCTGCCAGGGGGAGCCAGGAGAACACCCTGCAGGCAGCACAATAACCTAAACCCTGCCAGGGAGAGCCAGGAGAACACCCTGCAGGCAGCACAATAACCTAAACCCTGCCAGGGAGAGCCAGGAGAACACCCTGCAGGCAGCACAATAACCTAAACCCTGCCAGGGAGAGCCAGGAGAACACCCTGCAGGCAGCACAATAACCTAAACCCTGCCAGGGAGAGCCAGGAGAACACCCTGCAGGCAGCACAATAACCTAAACCTGCCAGGGAGAGCCAGGAGAACACCCTGCAGGCAGCACCTCGGGACAGGAGACTGCTGTGAGGAAAGGGCTGGAAATCCTCAAAGACAGTGCAGGCACAGGAGGAGGTGTGGAAGAACCTCCTCAGCTCCGGGAAATCAGGTTATGAACAAGACGTTCTCCCAACAATTCCTTCTGCTTTAGGCACACAGAGCCAACTGCTCAGAGGAACCTCCCGGAGCACTGGGCTCTGGCCAGCAGGGAAACACATCCCCTCGATCCCTGGAGAGCTGTGATGGTGACTGTGATGGTGACTGTGCAGGGCAGTGTGTGACTGAGACCCCAGGAGCACCGAGCAGCCTCCCACGTGCTCCCACGTGCATCCCCCGGGAAGAGGGGCCGGACATACCCTCCATTGAGCGTGGGGGTGAGGCCAAAGAGGGTGCAGAGCCCCACGGACATGAGCAGGGAGCTGAGCACTGTCACCACTGCAGCCAGAGCCAGGCCCCACTTGGACTTCACCATGTCGATCTTCCCTGGAAAACACAGCACGGATTAGCAGGAACAGCCCAGGGCATCCCCACAAATGGAGGAGGGATCCTCGTCCTGACTGACTTCAGGAGGTAACCGAGACCCCACAGCCCCCAGGAAAGGGGAGTTCAGTGTCAGTGCCTCAGGTGCAGCTCCCAGAGCCTCCCAGAGCCTCCCAGCACACGGGTGGGACACAGGACAGTGCTGGTTCCCAGCTCAAACCAATCCCAGCCCAGCACTGAGGGGTGAAAAAAAGGAACTGAAATGTGGCCAGAGGGGTCTGACCTGTCTGATAATGGATGGAATAATCCGGGGAAAAAAGTCATTCCTATGGCATTTAAAAGCTGCCCAAGACAGAAAACACCTCAGAAGTTATCACAGAATCACAGAATGGTTTGGGTGGGAAGGGAGCTTAAGGATTATCTTGTTCCAACCCCCTGCCATGGGCAGGGACACCTTCCACAAGACCAGGACACTTCCAGGGACGGGGAGGTGTATCACAAGGAATAACCCCACACTGGCTAAGGGGACAAATTAGCAGAAAGGGGATAAAAAGGACTATGAACTGTCTCCATGAGAGTCCAGGGTAACATTCCAAGAGCAGCACTGCTGCTGAGACAGGCGGGAATGGCGGTGCCACAGCCAGGAGTGTCTCATGGGGCCCTGATGATCAGCAGCCCCGACCCCACAGGCAGCTGGGAGGTGCCCCAGTGGCCCCCCAGCCTGCAGGGCCCAACGTACGTGTGGAGAAGTAGATGTAGGCGAAGAGGATGATGTAGGTGGTGACGAGCGGGATGAGCTCGGCGATGCCGATCTCCTCCTTGAAGTGCACGTGGACCACGCTCTCCTCCCGCAGGGAGCAGTTGGGGCTGGGGTGCAGCAGCTTCAGGCGGGAGCGGAGGCTGCTCAGGAACCTGCACAGGGGGAGAGCAGCAGAGCAGGTCCCTCACACCGCTCCCAGAACCCACACACAGTTCCCAGAGCCCAGCAGGAAGCGGCTCCATAGATTCACTTGGACCAACAGGGCGTGGTTCTCTCCAGTCTCACTCCCAAGGCTGTTCCTGGGTGGCCCAAACTCACAGACCTTGATTTCTGCCAAGATCTGCTGTTCATTCTCTCCAAATCTATTTAAAGCAAAGGCTCATCAACCAGAATCTGGGCCCTGGGGAACAGGACACGCCGTGGTCTCAAACAGCCCCAGAATTTCCACAGAATCACAGAATTCTGTGTAAAAATGGCTGGGAGAGGTGCCACACGACAGTCCTGGGGGCTGTGGGGCCCTGCAAAGCAGGTCTGGACTCCTGTGCTGCCAATTCCACCCCAGGCATCCCTTGGGGAATTCTGTGCAGCATTGAGTCCTCAGACCCACTCGATCCATGCTGGCTTTGCCAAAGCGCTTTCACCGGTGGAACCAGTGGTTACTGGGAAGCAAACCAGTCTGTGGACAGGGAACTGGGTCAAACCAGCCCCACTGGACCCTGGATGCCACAGGAATTCCCAGTGGCATCTCTGGATATTACAGATAATATTTTTTAATGAGGAGCTGAGAACTGGTCGTATTTTATCTCCTTAAAACACGGCGAGTTTTCTCTCCCAAACAGCTCCTTCGGAGGATCCAAGGTACTCTAAACCCCAGGAGAATGGAGACTAAAGGCAAACACGGCAGTGGTGAGCGGAGCAAAGAGCCCATTTTCGGGGAGCAGGCCCCGGGGGAGCCGGGCTGTGCCTCACCTGGAGTCGTAGCGCTGCAGCGCCAGGGTGACGGTGTAGGACACCACGCGCTGCCGCTTGGACAGGCTGACCCCGCTGCTCCTCCCGGGCAGCCCGAACAGCAGGTCTGCAAGGACACAGGGACAGCACGTCAGGGACAGCACGGCAGGGACAGCACGGCAGGGACAGCACGGCAGGGACAGCAGGACACACAAGGAGAGGGCACGCGGGTGTGCCTGGTGAAGAACAGCGGTGACTGCTCCTATGGAAGCACCTCCCGGTGCTCCGGTGACACCAACGGATGGGGGTCAACACCCGGTGCAGGGAGTGGGGATGGAGCATCACAGATATTGTGTCAGATATTGTGTATCACATCTGTATCACAGATATTGTGTCAGATATTGTGTATCACATCTGTATCACAGATATTGTGTCAGATATTGTGTATCACATCTGTATCACAGATATTGTGTCAGCACTGCTGAGGCCCCACCTCCAGTCCTGGGGCAGTTTTGGGGTCCCCAGGCACAGGACATTTGAGGGGCTGGACGGGGTGCAGTCCCCATCCCTGGAGGGATTTCAAAGCCCTGTGGATGTGGCACTTGGGGACATGGTCAGTGGTGGCCCTGGCAGTGCTGGGGGAATGGTTGGACTTGATGGTCTCAGAGGGCTTTTCCAGCCCCAACAATTCTCTGATTCCCTCTATTTCATTTGCAAGTGAGCTCCCACACAGGCTCCACGAGCTCCATCCTAGTGTGCTCACACTCTGGATGCTCAAAAATAACCTTTAAAGCAAACTTACTTCAGGGTTACAACTCCCTTTTCAGACATGTCCCATTATACATTTTACACTTCCTGACAGGTACAAAGTTCCTTTAAAACCAAAGGACTGAAACTGCATTTAATACACCATTTCCTCTGGCGTTATGGAGCCACTAATGATCCCACACACGGTCAGAAGGTTTTTTTTTTAATTAAGAGAGGAAAAATACATTTCTGATCTCCATTGTCAGCTCGGGCTGTGTGCAGGGAACCATCCATGAAGGCCCAGGGGAGCAGGATGAATGTTCATTTATCCCTGACAACGGGGAGTGTGACAGAGGGAAAAGCCAGGCTGGAGCTTGGGTGGAGTGAGAGGAACAAAACAGCTGCTATTTTTACCTGCAGAAAGGAGCCTGACTGAGTGAATTATTCATCTTCCACATTCTGAGCTCAAACACAGATATAAAATAAGAGCTGCCACAGATTGGGCACCTTCCTTTCAGCTGCTGTGGGTGACAAAATGCCGCCCAAATCGGGACTTGGAGCAATCCAGATGTTGGAATTAGTGAGGATGGAATAACAATGGAATCCGTGGGCAACTCTCACAGCTCCTGTGGCACTGCAGCACCTCACCTTTGAGAGTGGCTGACGTCTGCAAGGTCTTTGGCTCATGCTGGTGGATGGTTTTGAAGATGTCTGGGTCGGCATTGAAGCGCTCCCGGTCGTTCTGCCAGAAGTTCCCTGGAGACAGCAACAGGCAGCCGTGCTCCGGGAGCAGGTTCCGCAGCTTCCTGAGGCCAGGCAGGAGATCTGTGACCTGCAGGCAAAGCTCCTCCAAGCTCCTGACTCCAGAACTGAAAGGCAAACACGGGGGAGTGGGACCCAAACTGCCCTGTGTGTGTGTAACTCTCCCTAAGGAAAGGCAAAGCTGCCGAGATGGACATTCCAGCACCTTCCTCACTGGGTCGCTGCTCTTCTTCCTCACAGCTGAGGACCAGGAGCTGCTTCTCCCTGGAACTAGGCACAGGCTCCAGAACTCCACCCTCACTCCTCTGGGTGCTGCCTGCCCACCCAGCTCTCACTGCTCACCCATCCTCAGTGACTCGATTCCCACTTGCACATTCTCCACTCAACAGAGAGATTGTCTCCCTGGAATTCTTCTTCCAAGTCCCCAAACCCCTCTGCACACCTCTCTCCACACACAGAACAGGATGTGTTACAGGAATCCTGGCCAGCCCTCCTGAAGTGGATCCTGTGAGGTGCCCAGACTGCTCTAAAACCTTCCAAGGATTCAATGTCTCACCTGGCTGTGGTGTCCTCCCAGTTCCCCTGCTTTGTGTGGAAAGGAGAACTCCTGAACCTTAGGGCTTCAGAAATCCACAGAGCTGTAACTGGTATGAACTGGAACCTGTGTTTGCTCCCAGACTTCCTTTACCACAGTGACAGAATCCTTATCAACCACTGATCCAAGCAAAACTCAGCCTGGGATTACACGAGGACCTGGTGTGAAGGGTCAGTGACAGAACCAGCTGTTGGACAGACAAGGAGGAGCTGCTGGTCCAGAAGAGACAATTCCCTCCTTGGGATACAGAAACTGGTGGGATCTGCCCAGGAAAGGTGTATTGAGCAGAGGCCAAGTGAAGAACAGAGACCAGCCCTTGCTGGCTCTGGCCCCGCGGGTCACAGGAAGGTGGTTCCAGAGGAGATTGTTCCTATAACTACAAAGAGCAAACACAGAAATCAATACATGATGATTTGTCCTTGTGAGGGCTCCCTCCAGAACCTGTATCCAGTGGCTGTATGGCAGGACACCTGGAGAAGTCACAGCTAGCAAAAGACAAGACTGGAAAATACACCCGAAAAGAGGGTGTTTGTAGGGACAAAAGCTTCGGGAAGAACAACTTAAAGGGATTGATGCAGTGATGCCTCTGGCAGCTCCAGGAAGAGCCAGCTGACCATGTGTAAGGTGACAGATAAGGGCACACAAAAGAAAAGAAACCCTCCTGATGGTTTCCTGGAAAACCCCAGCACTGGGAGACATTCCCAGAAACTGAGAAAAGGATTAAAAGGAAGAAACAGAGATAACCCAGGAACTGGACCCTTGGGCCTGTTTCATCTGTCTATCACCCCAAAATTAGTTTACTGACTACAGCCACTCCAACTGCCTAAAGAGAAAGGCATAAAAAGAGATTGGACCCGAGCAAAAGCGATTCCTTATACACAGACACTCATTTTACTTTTGCTCCACAGCACTTCAAAATTTTTCCTGATTACTTCCTTGTAAGTTGCTTTTGCTCTATGTGTGCACTTCAGTTTTTTGCTTTACTTATTCTGTGTCAGTTGTTTTACTTCTCTGTAAGTTGCTTTTGCTTTAGTGTGTGTGCCTACGCTTTGCATGACTGTTATTATTATTATCACTACACAGTTTAAGTGTGGGTTTTTTGCAGTTAGACCCTACTCCAGACACAGCAAACCCCACAAACTGTCACAAATTTGTATAAATAAAGGTGTTATTTCGTGAACTGTTCGAGTGAGTCCGTTTTCAGGTGCTGAAATAACTCATAGGAGGAACCTGCTGAGGGGTTTTCTGACCACTTTTGCTGCAGTCCTTACATAAAAGGTACCAAATAATTCCTGTCCCCTGGGGAATCTGTTAAGTGAAGGTGAGACAACAGCAGAATGTTCTGGACATTAAAAGGCTTTGATCTCCTGGGGGACACTGACAGACACTGATAAATTAATACAAGTTGGACAGAAAATTCTTCTTTTCTGCCCCTTTTAAGGTGACAGAAAATGGTACCAGGAAGGTGGGGTGTCAGGAATATTCTTTGGCAAAAATGCAAATTTACCTCTTCCCAAGTGGAGCAAGAGTGCACTGAAATGCTTAAAAAGGCTAAAGGAAAAGTTCTGAAATGCTTGAACCACCTTAACACTCCGCCTGCGAACCGCAAAGAGAAACCACTGCCAGAAAAACAAACTGCTGGAGTCAAACAGCCCCAAAAGTCAGTAACTCATCCAGATAGGGGAGTCTGGAAAGGGCATATTTGCTGTGACAAAACCACAGAAAACTCTAATTCTAATGAGAGTTAGAATTGCTGTTCTGCACGATGATTCCTGCTCTCCAACAGAGGTGGCAAAAATGCAAGAAAATACAGAGAAACTGTATTGGAATTACAATTCCAGCAACAAAGTGTGTTTGGTGCACAACAAAAATCTAAAGATTCACCTGTTTCTAAACTGATTGGTGATGTTGAATATGTGGGTTTGAAATCAGACAGTAAAGTATCAAAGTTATCGTCATCCTGTGAGAGGGAAACGGGAGAAAAACGGAAAACTCCAGCTTCTGAACCGGTCCCTAAAAACTGAAATGAACAACCTCAAGTTTCCACTTCCCGCAGCAGGCTGGGAACAAAAGGAGCTGCAGGTAAACGAGGTGATAACAGCTCAAAAAGAACAAAACCTGCTGCTGTTAAACGAGTGTACATTAAGGAAACAACTGCCAGGAGTTAAACTCACTGAAGGCGGGGTTTGCCAGGCGACTAAAACCCACCGAAAGAACTCGGAAAAACAATTCCTGCGGACTCTTCACCGCAGCCACTTGTCTGCCAACGTTTCTGCAGCAACTCAACAGCTAAAACACCCCGGGCCCCTCAGGTGTTCCCGGCGTGGTACCAACGCCCAGAAAAGAGGTGTCATCGCTCACTCGGGCTTTGGGAATCCTCCTGCCTGTCTGGGAAAAACCGCAAAGAGAAACCCGCGGGTTCCCTTTGGCTGCAGAAAAATGCCCCCTGATTTTCTGACTGCTGCTAAACTATCCAAATGTGCCCCTAAGGCAGGCGAGGCTGAAACCCAAACCCAGCCCGTACCGGTGCCGTGGGACGCTGAGGAGCTGCGGCCCCGGAGTGAGCTGAGCAAGTGTCCCCTAAAGGGAACTCCCGGCTCCAGGGACAGAGGCAGAGCTGCAACAAACCCTAAAGGCAACCCAGCTCAGACAGGGACTCTGGAGGCTTTCACAAGCGCTGCACTCCCTCCGATCCCAGAGGGATCCACCCCCAAACCTGGGCACAAACTGCACAATCCAAGTGGCAAACTCTTGGGAAGCAGCAGCTGGAGATTTGTTCAGATCTCAAACCCCTCTTTCCGATCAGCCTTGCTGGCTCAGGAGTGAACCGAGCCCATTTCCTCTTTCCCTTTCCCAGGAATACCCTTAAAAAGAAGGAAGGGCACTCGGCCAAGTTCCTGTACCCAGCTGGTTGTCACCTACAACGAAATAAAAGTGTCTGACTGTGCTGAACAACTCAACTCGCTGAGTGTTCACCTGGAAGAGAAACCCCTCCAGGGCTTGGGGGTTTTTCCCTTTTCCTCTTTCTCCAGGAATGCAACCCCCACCATGACTGGAGTGAAGGCACTGCCAGCAAACTTCCCTGGAATTCTTTTAACCTGTGGGATATGCACAGAAACCAAGTCAACACTCCATAAATTGTTTTTTCGGGGTTCTTTAATGGTTAATTTGTACTAGGCCGAATTTTCACCTCATCTTTTTATAGGCACAAGCTACGAGTGAATCAGAACCACCTGAGACTAATGAAACATCTAATAATTATTTCGATTATTAGTTTATTAACTCTCATAGTGTGTTTGTGTTTTCATCGAGAGCCACTTGTTGGAAGACCAACTATTAATAACCAAGTTATATAAAACAAACCATTTAATGTGTCATTAGTTTAAATTTTAATAAGTTCACTTTGTCTTTTGTCTTTATTAAATAAAACAATAGTGTGGAAAAACCTTTTACCTTATCAATATATATAACTTTATTTCAATCAATTAAAAATTTAAAAATTCAACCAAATATAACTTGGAAGTCGACACCAAGATTTATGCATATATGAAATTATGTAAATATGTGTTAACCTTTCCAATTCTTCCTCAGGTAACTAGGTTTTTTTTCTTCCTTCCTTAACCAAAAGGAAAGACAACTATAGAATGCAAATATGATCTGCAAATAAAATATAAAAAACCCTATAACTATTTTTTTTAAAAAAGAAAATACTTCTATTCTCCTAAGTCCTTTTTATTTGCCCTCACTTTCTGTTATCTATGCTAATCAATCATTGTTAACAGAATGTGATAAGAGCAATTTATCCACTGGAAAAAAAAAAAAAAGGGAAAACCAAGTTTATTTTAACACAACCTGTGCTTGCATCTTGTTTATAACAGAAACAAGGCATAAAGCTATCATTTAATTTTATAAAATTCATGTGTGACAGGGTGGTCATAAATAAAAAACGTGTACTTCTCAGTATACTTATGCTTAAGCTGCTTTCTACAAACAGAAATGGAGCATCACAAAGAAGAGTGGAAATCAACTCTTTCTGTCCCTAAAAGGAATTAACAAAAACATCATCTCAACAGGATGCTAAATTAAAAATGATGCCCTAAATGCACAAGAACACTCTTACACGTTGTAAACTATACTACAAAAGAAAAATAAATATATGCCTGCTTTTTAAGCACAAATACTGACATAACTTTAAAACAGCCCTTTAAACAGAGCCTGGGCCTTCAGTGCCCAGGTGAGTCAAGCTGCTGGTGCAACCTGACATTTCCACAATGACCCAGCTTGCCCACATCCCTGGCAGCTCGTGTGTGGGGTGAGGTAACATCCTGAGAACAGCACTGCACCTCTGATGAGGTGAGCTCTCAAATATTCATGTATCAGTTATCACACTGGTGCAATCCCCACTGACCTCAGTAAATCAAAACAACCCTCTTTTCCCTTTAACTTTGGGAACTGATCAATGGCCTCTAACAAACCTGTTACCAAAATGAGAGAACTGGTTAAAACAAAAAGAACCAAAGACCATCAGCTGATCACAGGTGCACCTGGCAGCATCCAAACAAACACCCCTCTGGCTCTCAGATGTACCCATGGGTGCAGCCAGTAACAACTGCCTTCCCAAAAGAAAGGGGAAGGAAAAAACCACCTCACCCAACAGAACTCAACAGGTGATTTGGAATAACCCAAATCAAACAGGACATGGGATGCTGGTGGTATCCAGGCACTCTGACCTCTGAGCCCAGCAGCAACACAGGGCTTTGGGACATGGAACACACCCAGTCACTGCCTGAAAACCAAACCACACAGGGCTGTGCTCTGCCCTCTACAGCACAGAGGATGAACCTGAAAAGATGAAAATAAATGACAAACTGTTAATGCTAATGTATGTACTGTACGAGGGCAACAAAGATTTGTTTGGGAAGGTAACACCACCGAAGCCCAAGGCATTTGTCCAGACACTGAACAAAATGGCTATAATTTAAATTAAAATTATTAGGGTAAATTAAAATTTATCCTAATGAAAATTTAAAAACAGTGCTCATATAATATTAATAAAAAATATGCTTCCATAAAACTTTGTGTAATTCGGTGCCTGTAGAAAATGTCTTTGCAGATACAAGTAATGGCTCTAATGCTTGTGTTTGTAATTTTGTTAACGTTACAAAACACAATTTTAATTGCTATCAGTTTTTAGAATCTAATTATATTCTAATGCAAGATTTACAGCCTACCCCCACGAGCATGAATTTCACACTAGTGAAAGGGACTGCTGCAAGTGAGGACTTGAGACAATTACTAGAAGGTGCTCAAGAAAATGAACAAAAAGCTAATTACTGCCTATCACGATGTAGAAGAAATATCCTATGTGATAAAAGGAGTGAAAAAGGACAGGGAACACCCCTGGGGAGACACCCTGTCTGGGTGGGCACCTGCAGCTGCCAGGATCTGCCCTCAAATGCTTCATCCTGTTATCACACTATTGGTATTGACCTCCTTGCTTCTCATTCTAGTGACTGCATTTATATTAAAGTTTGGGTCATTAAGGAGCAATCAGCCCATGAGTTACCTGCACTGACACTGGACAATCCCCAGGGTGTAAAACCACATCACACTGCACAACTCTAACTGAATACTGTGCAGTTTGAGTGGCTGTAGCCACGGGCTGGGAACTGTAAGGTGATAGATAAGGCCACAGAAAAGAAGGAAAAACCCTCCTGATGGCTTCCTGGAAAAGCCCAGCACCTGGGAGACATTCCCAGAAACTGAGAGAAGGATTAAAACCAAGATATGGAGATTTTTTTCTGC